AGTACCTGACAAATTAAAGAAATTTAGAAGAAAACTACATTTACGGGGATAAAGAATTAGGAATTCAGAAGAAAATTGAAATCTAGATTGTTAAATCAATTATGAGCAATAGACAAAAAAAAAAAAAAAAAAGGGTCTAGAAAGTATACACTATGCAGCCTGAAAAGAAAAATGAGAGTTTAACTTATTTACTGAATGGGAGTTTTTTTTTTTTTGCAATTTACTTTTCATTTAGGGGCAAATTTGTAAATCTATTTCAAAAAATTTTAAAACCTCCTTGACGATCCCCCCGCGTGTATAATCACCGAGTAAACAAATAACACTTAAAATATAAACAATTTAATTTGTCAATTAAATTAATTTAGTTTGAAACCTAAAATAATGGGATACATATAATAGGTTTGGTTTAAAATTGGACAAAAAATACAAATTAAAATTGAGTGGTGTTACTCAACCCCCATTCAAACTCTTCGTAAGTTCCAAAACTTTTTAATGAGATTTTTAACTTTTGAAAATTCAATTAAGTTTACAAGGATAATTTATTAATTAAATCAGAGAAGAAGAAAAAAAAAAAAAACATAATTATATTAAATAGATTTCTCTTAGAATGTTAGGGTGTTTAAAAGTTTTAAGAACTAGGAAAACTTTTTTCAGAGTTTTTGATATTGAAAATCCCTTGTGTTAATTTAGGTATTTACAATATAATTTTTTAATTTAAAAAAAAAAAAACTAATGATAGGCTTAAAATGTGTTTATAACACCGCTCTTAAAATTTATAGATTGAATAACTCACGAGTCACAACCTATAAACAGTTATCCATTCCAACCTATTTGTAAAGAGCGGTGTTATTTGTGCTCCCACTAAAACTCTTAATAAGCCCCTATGTTAATTAAAATTTAATAAAAAATTTAAATTATAAATATCTCATGTTCAATTCCATAATTACCCATTCCATTAACATCCTTCCTCTCCATCTCCTTTCAAAATTCCTCATAACCATAAGAAGAATAAGTTTAGTGGGTTTTATTTGATTTTGCGGTAATTAGATTATGGTAAGAAATTTTAATCTTGACTCCTCACATACATCAATTTCTTAAAGATTTTTAAACATTTCCTTAATGTTGTAGTAAGAGTCTCAATGTTTTTTTGACCGACTCTTGCCTAAACAGAGTCAAAGTGTGTTGACTAAAGTCAACAAAGAAAAATTAGGAAAGGGTGATTGTTTTTCAAATTTATTATTTCGGAGAACAACTTTTTCACTTTTTATCATAAACTACCTTCAAAGTTTAAAATTGTACCTATTTTTGTTATTAAAATAAACCCTTAAAGTTTAAAAACTTCATCACAAATTACTGTTTGTATTAACTCTGTCACATAGTTTCGTTACGTCTACAAAATACTTCTATTTCAAAGCGGAAGTTATAATTTTCCCCTAACGCTTTTTTATAAGATCAAAGTTACTATTTCACTTTTCTATAGAATATTCTCTTAAACATTTTTTTTTTTTTTTTTTTTTTTGGGAAAAACCATGACAATATGAGAATGAGAACTAATTAAAGTGGATTTTATTGTGCTGATTACCCACACAAAATATTCTGCTGATATTTTCCAGGAAAATTGACATGGGCACGATTAGTAAAAATAAAAAAGAAAATAGTTGAGAATAAAATTTGATTAAAAATACAATTTGAATCCTTGATAAATTAATAATTAGAAAATGTAAATTTATTATTCTACATGTAGAAAAGTGTTAAACTATTATTTTTATTTTAAATTTTTAATCCTATATATATTAAGATTTGGAAGTAAATTCTTAGTAGATATAAATAGGATTTTGAGATATTATAGAAAATAAAAACAAAAATATGAAGAAAGTACCAATATGTTAAGAATATAAAACATTTTAATAACAAGTTTGAAATTCAACATGAATATCATTTCTAGTAACTCTAAAAACAGAAAAATTGTCAAAATGAAATTCAACATGAATATCGTGTCCTTTATTATTAAATCATAATAAAGAACATAAACTTGTCAAAATGAAATTGAAATATTATTTATAAAAAAATTAAAAATAGAAAATATAATGAAACAATGAATATTTAATTTTTTTTTTTTTAATCATCATATATAGTTGTCGCGGATCTACCTAACTCAACGAATATGTTCTTAAAATATTTAATAAATAATTTTTTTGACTTTTCAGATTAGAAATTTTTAAGCAAAAACATAATTTATTTGCATTATTGGAGCCCAACAGCAAATCCCTAAGATCCTTTCGGAAACACATCTAACGGCAAGTGAAATATTTGTGAAACTCGTCCTATAATCTTCTGATTTTTGCAGATTTTTAAAAATAATGAAATTGAAAAACCCTACAATCAAAACTAAGTTGGAGAAAAGAAAAAGTGATGCAAAGATTAAAATCATATATCCCTCATAGTTATGAGACTAACTTTAACATTCTTAGCTTCCAATGTTTTTTTTTTTTTTTCTAATTATATCATCAGTTTATCGTATCAAGAATGCTGGTCCAAATTTAAAAATAAATAAATAAATAAATAAACCCTACACTTATAAAGTTCTCATATAAAATATATACATTTAAATGATGCAATAAATATAAATAACAGTCACATAAATTCTCTCCATAATGGCCTTTATTATCTGGAAAATCCTATTAGTAAAAACGCGTATTATACGTGAATTGTATGACAGCCGTTAATTCGTGTAAAAAGTGTGTATACTTTTTATAAAATTTCCGTATAATTTGCGTATAATAAGGTTTTCCGTATAATCGCGAATTATCACGAATTTTGAAAGAAAAAAAAAATCTCACACCTCCAAAACGACATCGTTTGGTGGATTTATACAAATTAAACAGATCTGTTCAGTCATTCTTCTTCATTCTTCGACATCAGCAGTGCACCCAAACAACCATCATTCACCTTGAAAATGAACAAATCCATGAAAACATAAACTAATAGTGAGAGAGGGAAAATAAGAATGAAGAGAAGAAAGAAAAGATTAGAGAAGTGGCCCTCTAGAGTTTCTTAGTGGTTTCGAAAGTGATGAAGGTGGGGTGCTAGGGTTGTTAGATTTTGGATAGGGAAGTGTCATAGCAGTGTGAATTTGAAAGAATATTGGGGGTGGAGGATTTTGGTGGCGGGGTTTGGGAGAAGATAAAAGGGGTTGGGGCAATTCTTTTTTTTATATTTTTTTAAAAATTTGATTTTTTCTTAATTATTAAAATGGTTATTTATAATTTATACATTTTATTTATTTTATTTTATTTTTATAAACCTTAACTTTTCTTTTATTAATAACCTGATTTTAATAAAATATAATTTTTAATAGAAATTGAAGATAGGAGTTTAAGTGACTATTTCCAGTTAATGAGGTAATTAGTAATTACCATCTATTTGTATTTTAGGGCTGTAAGTAATATTAACTTTATAATAAATTTATGTAACTAGACTGACAAGATGTCTTTTAACCTTAAAACTAACGTAAGAATTTTAATATGGGTGGGAAAATGTAGATTCGCAAACTTTGGTTGAGAAAATGTCTTCGCCTATTAAAATATGTGACTCTCTATTATTTAATTGTAAAATAAAATTATTTCTTATATCAAATAAATAAATAACTATATAATCCAATTCTAACCAATAAATAATAACTTCAAAATAGTTTGTTAAGTACTAGATTAATTTAACCCTTTATCCCAAGGCCTGAAAAGCAAGAGCCTCTCACTTATCAGTAGCGTTAATTATCACATCTCATAACCCAATTCTATTATGACTTATGTTTGTTTAACTTGACACTATAGTTGAATCTTGGCTAAATATTATGTTTGAGTTTAAAGACTATAATTTAATATCAGTTATATATTGTGTATTTGTTATTAGTTATTGAATACTTTATATTTAAATGTTATGTTGATTTTAACCAGGTAGTCCATAAAAGTGTTAAAACTAAGATTGATATTGCCGTATTTTTCAAAACGTATTATTGATAATACACGATTAAACCCGTATATACCTATTATATTTTTTCCATATCTGAATTTATAGCTGAATTTTTATAAACTTTTTCACTCTTTACCGTATTATACCCATATAATCTCGTACTATTTTTTACAGTATCCTATTACTAATTAGGATCTGGTTAGCACTATTCCTCAGACTTTGTATACATAGAAGTTAGAAAACTCGAAATATATTATTAACAAAAAAAGGTTTAGCACGAGTGATATATTCTCTATAACTTTTTCTAGAAAACCTGGACAGTACGAGGATCAAAACTGATTAATTTATAAAAAAAAAGGTTTATTTTATTGTGCATTTGTGCTGATTACTCTGGCAAATATCTTTAGATACTTTCGAGGAAAATTCGGTACAATTTGTAAAGTAAAAAAAAAAAAATGTAATATTATATATACAATAATTTTATATAATATTTTTCATATAATATTACTGAAAAAATAATTGATTAGTTTTAAATTAAAATTAAAATTTTACATAATCACCTTTTATCATAATAAGAAATATTGTACGTTACATTATTTTCAATAAAACTGGAAAACTAAAAAATGAATGCCAACTGAGAGAAACTTCAGGAAGGCTTCTGATATTCTTTTTCTACTATTTTCCGCTTTTATATTTTCTTTGTTGAGCGTATAACTGAATAAAACTTTCTTCTTCTCTTTATTACTTTGAAAATTCTATAAAAGACGATTCCAAAACTTTCTTATCAGCAATCATTCATTAGAAACTCTAGGCCTGTTTTGTTTTAATTTTGAAAACTTGTTTCGTCTGCTTCGTTCTTGATTGATAATCGGTGGAAATCGATGCTGCTTCTTCTTTCACTGTTTCTTCCACACATCTTCGAGCGAAGCATCATGTTTTCCTTAGTTTCAGAGGCAAGGATACCCGCTACAGTTTCACCAGTCATCTCCATGAAGCTCTGAGTCGGAAAATGATTGCAACTTTCATCGACAATGACTCAGAGAGGAGATGAAATTTCACCATCTCTTCGGAATGCGATCGAAGTATCAAAGATTTTGGTTATCGTTTTCTCGAAAGGTTATGCGTCTTCGAGATGGTGCCTCGAAGAACTTGTGAAAATCCTGGAATGCAAGAACATGTATGGAGGGATCGTGATACCGGTTTTCTATCATGTTGATCCATCGGATATAAGGAATCGAACCGGGAAATTTGGAGATGGATTTGCTGAGCTTGAAGGACGATTTAAGGAGCAACCAGAGATGGTGCAGAGATGGAGGAGTGCTTTGAGTGAAGCAGCCAATCTTTCTGGCTGGCCTTTGAATGACAAGACGTAAGTTTCTTGTTTCTACTCTTTCATACTTTTCTTATTTCAGATTTTTTTCATTTGATTTGATGCCCAGCGTGGGCCAGTACCTTCACTGAAATTCAAAAAATGTCATTATCTAAAGGGTAATTTTATACTTACACACCAATTTATTAATTACTTTACTCATTGTTTATAAAATTACATATGATACACGTACTATACTTTATATTTACAAAGATCAGTAAAATGGTTAGTAAATTTGTGAGTAAGCATAATATTATTGTTATCTAAATTACATCCCCCCTTACTTGAATTCTTGGCTCAACCACAAGTCCAAACCAGTTATACATGAGGGTGAGCATGGGTAAAGGGTAGAACCGAAACCTAGGGTACCCACTCACTGATTTTGGGTAGGAACCGGAACCAGTCTCATTAGGGTCCGGTTCTGATTCTAAAAAATTAGAACCGAGAATTCTCGGGTACGTAAACATGAAACCGGGAATTCTTAGGTTCCTGGACTTGGAACCGGGAATTCTCAAGTATCCGAAACCAGAATCATAACCGAGGTTAGGGTAACAAGGTAGGGACTAAGACTAAATTGTAATTTTTGCAAACTATTGGGGAGTGTATTTATCATTTTTTTTAAGTAGGGGGTAAATGAAATTAACCAAGTACCCAGAACCGGAACTGAAACTTATGTTTTAGGTTTCGGTTCTAGGTTTCTAGGAACCAAAACCAGTCTGATTCCAAATCTTAGGAACATACCGATTCCGGTTCTATAAAAAAATACAGGATATCCAAAACCACTCACCCCTGGTTATACGATTCGAAATCAAAGTTCTTCATATTTAAATTTAAAACTACATTTCGGTTTACAAATATTTTTATTCTTTTTTAATATTTGATAGGTCAGAAGCTGAAATTGTGAATGACATTGTCGATGATATTTTGAGGAGATTGAGAAATGTTATGTGTCCGAGTGATAACAAGAACTTGGTTGGAGTAGAATCAACTATCGAAGAATTAATTGAGTTGTTATTGAGCAAAGATGTTTGCAACTTTGGGAATTTGGGGCACTCGGCGGTATAGGTAAAACAACTATGCTCGTGCTGTGTTCGATAAAATCGAATTGTTTTGAAGGATTCTACTTTGCTGAAAATGTTGGGAAGAATCAGAAATCCCTAATGGACTAGTTCCTTGCGAGAAAAACTTCTTTCTGCTATATTAGGGGATCAAAATCCCAACACAGGATGCTACATCACAAAAAAAAGGCTTGGTCTAATGAAGACTTTCATTGTTTTCGATGACGTAACAGATTTTCACAAATAGAAGATCTAATGAAGATATTAAAAGCATGGCTTCAGGAAGTCGAGTCATTATAACAACCAGAAATAAACAAGTGCTTGAGAACTGCAAAGTAGATAGAATCTACGAAGTTAAGAAATTATCTCATCCAGAAGATCTACATCTTTTTAGCCGATATGCTTTCAAACAAAATCTCATCCCAGAAGATTATTTGCGGCTCTCAAATAAGGTAGTAAATTATGTAAAGGTCTTCCATTAGCTCTAAAAGTGTTGGGTTCATCTCTAGTTAACAAGAGTGTAGAAGTTTGGGAAAGACAATAAGTAAACTAGAAGAAACTCCTCCTTTGAATATTTAAAGGTGTTAAAAGTAAGTTATGATGGACTGGATGGTGAGGAGCAGATATATTTTTAGATATTGCATGTTTTTTCAAATGGAAGGACCAAGATTGGTAATAAAAAATTTGAAGGCAAGTGACTAAAGGCAGAGTGTGGAATAAGTGTTCTCATTGATAAGTCTCTCGTAACTATATCATTAGACAATATGATAACAATGCATGATTTGCTTCAAGAAATGGGAAGGAAAATGTCCGTGAAGAAAAGGATATTCGCAGCGTAGTCGATTGTGGCATCCCAAGGATACTCATCATGTGTTGACAAAAAATATGGTGAGTCTGGTCAAAACTTAGCTTGGAATATGTCATTTTCATTTTCTTCATGCGTTATTTGAGGTTTATAAATGCTAACTATATGGTTTCATCTTGATTGTCAGGGAACTGAAGCGGTTCGAGGCATATGCATGGACATGTTTGAAATAAGAGATGTTCAATTAAATCCCTCACTTTCAAATATGCATAGTTTGAAATTCTTAAGGTCTATGGAGCTGTTCATAATAAGGTGCATGGGTTTCAAGGCCTGGAATTTGATTTCCCTGAGCTAAGAATATTTGTTGGCATAATTATCGGTGGAATCTTTGCCATGCAATTTAATCCCGAGAACCTTGTTGCACTTGAGATGCGCTATAGTAATCTTGAAGAACTTTGGAGTAGTCCAGGTATATGTATTTCATATAACAATCTTATGTTTGTATATATCAGATTTTCTAATTCGCATTAGTCCTTTTTTTTTTTTTTTTTTTTTTTGTTTGGGTGCAGGTTCTTGTTAATTTGAAATACATCGACCTGAGTTACTCAGTGCATCTACGTAAGATTGCGGACCTCTCACAGGCCCCGAATCTTGAGAGTTTGATTCTCGAAGGTTGTACAAGTTTGATTGAGATCATTTCCCCATCCACTCGGAAGCTCAATAAACTTGTTATTCTGAATCTAAGAAATTGCAAAAGCCTCCATGGTCTTCCACCGGGTATTCATCAATCAAATTCTCTTAGATTTGTCATTCTTTCAGGTTGCTCAAATCTCAAAACGGCTCCCAAGATCTCATGTAACACAGAACAACTTTGTCTGGATGGAACTGCAATAAAAGAATTTTCCTCTATGATTGAACGTCCTTCTAGACTAGTTCAATTCAGTCTTCAGAACTGTTCAAGGCTTGAAAGACTCCCAAGAAACTTTCATAAGTTTAAATCCCTCAAACATCTTTCTCTATCTTCTTGCTCAAATCTTGAGACTATTCCAGAGATCCCACGTAAGATAGAAGAGTTATATGTTGATGGAATTGCAATAGAAGAATTGCCCTCATCAATTGAGTCTCTATCCAATCTACAAACATTGAGTCTCAGGAATTGTTCAAGGCTCAAGAGTCTTCCAGATGGCATTTGTAAGCTAAAATCTCTCAAGTATCTGTCTCTCTCCGGTTGCTCAAACATCATGACAATTCCAAAGATCTCATGTAAGATGGAGCAATTACATTTAGATGAAACGGCAATAAAAGAATTGCCCTCGTTAATCGAGTATCTATCCAGTCTAGTCACTTTAAGTATAAAAAATTGTTCAAGTCTTGAGAATCTTCCGGACGAAATCTGTAACCTGACATCTCTCAAACATCTCTATATCTCTGGTTGTTCAAAACTCGACAGATTGCCTGATGACATCGGAAATCTGCAAAGTTTGGAGGTGTTTGAAGCTAATGGAATTGCTGCAACCAAATTACCATCATCCATGGAAAGTTTGAGCAACATTCGTGAATTATCTTTTGAGAGATGGAAAGGGCAAGAGCTTGTGCGTTCTCTTTCTCCTATGTTATCAGGTTTGAAGCTTTTNGGACATCGGAAATCTGCAAAGTTTGGAGGTGTTTGAAGCTAATGGAATTGCTGCAAGCAAAGTACCATCATCCATGGAAAGTTTGAGCAACATTCGTGAATTATCTTTTGAGAGATGGAAAGGGCAAGAGCTTGTGCGTTCTCTTTCTCCTATGTTATCAGGTTTGAAGCTTTTCAAGAAACTAAACCTGAATGACTGCAATATTACAGAATTACCCAACAGTCTTGGCGATTTATCCTTTTTGGAACATTTATATCTTTCTGGAAACAATTTTGAGAGCATTCCAGCAACAATCATCAACCTTTCGAAGCTATCTTCGCTCGACTTGAGCCACTGCAACATGCTTCAATCCTTACCAAACCTTCCTGGTGACATACAACTTCTGGTAGCAAATAGCTGCAAATCTCTGCAAACATTATCCGATTTGCCGATTCCAAGCCATGGCTATTTCAACGGTAATCTCAGCTTCATCAATTGCTTCAATCTGGACTGGAGAACGCTTACAAGAATTCTGGATTACGCTCTGTCAAATATGTATGAAAAGGCCACTTACACTCACAAGAGTCCTTTCAGTTACATGTGTTTCCGAGGAAGCGAAATTCCTGAGTGGTTTAACTTTCAAAGTACTGCATCATTTCTAGAGCTTCCGGCAGGCTCGTTGAATCATAATTTCATTGGCTTCACCTTCTGCACTGTGTTATCATTCCAGGATTATAAAGCTGGGACGTTGGTTGTTGAGTGCGAGTTGCTTCTGAAATGCGAAGATGGCTTGACGAAAATGGGGAGCGGCAGCTTTTTGGCTTGGAACAAAGAGTATGCGCCCTCCCATGTCGAGTTTGATTGGATATGATTGTCAAGTGAATGATAAATCAGAATGGGATGAATTCTCTGAGGCCATTATCAAGCTCAGTGTTACAAATGTAGAATGCGTGGTGAAGAAGTGTGGAGTCCGTTTATTGTTCAGCCAGGAGGAATCAATGAACGAATCCAGCTTATGTTTGCTCTCCGATGAAGATGAAGATGAAGATGAGCCACAGTCAAAGAGATTGTAACTTTTAGATTCCTTCCAAGGTGAATCCAGCTCAAGGTGAATAAGTCATAGCTCAGTTGAAGAAAAGAGAGCATGGTAGAAGAATTGTGGAGTTGTTTTTTATTTTTACAGAATCCTGCCTGACCACATGTTCTTTATAGCTTCATTCTTATTCTCAACTTTAATTTTTACATTTATTATAATCAATGATAATATACTTATAAATCAGCTTTGCATTACAAATAACGTGATGTATTAATATTAATTATATTATTGATATCTAGGCATACTAATATGATAGCACAAAATCCCACATCACCATAAATTTGAAGTATATATTTTATAAATTTAAATATATATTTGGTAATTGTAATTTACTCTCTCCCTTAATATCAACGTATCAGTTATGGTAATTATATTAACCAACAAGATTAACGTGCACTTGTTATAGAATTATTGAATAATACGAGATGATGTAATACAAAGTAAATATAAAAAAAAAATGAATTTAATAAAATGTTCAATAAAAAAAGATTAAAAAAAATTATGATAATAAAAAGATTAAAATTATTATAATATCAATTTATGTACAAAATATGTGTATAAAAAGTTCATTTATGAGCCACAAGTAAGGATATACTATGTAAATTTGCTTTTGAGGGAATTTCTTGACAGCCTCGAGGTTTTGTGAACCAATCAATCCCCAAAGTTTCAAAAACTAACATCAACACCCTAATATTTCCTTACATCTATATCAGCTTAAGTTTGACCAGATGTGACCAATGATTAGGAACTCGGCTCTTGTGACAACCCAGCCAGGGTCATGGTTTGACCGGTCTAACCGATTTGACCAATGGTTTCTTTCAATCCAATAGGTTTAAAATCTAGCAAACACACCCCTGTACATATTAGTCCCTTCAGGTTTGAAATCTAGCAAAAACATCCCTACAAACAAGTGACGATTAGCAGCCAATCGAACTTTAGGATGATGGGGGTTTTGGTGGGGAGATGCTGGTGAGGCAAATGGGGTGATTTTTGGCATTGATAACGATCAAAAAAAAAAAAAATCACAAAACCCTAAGAGTGGCCGACAACAATCGGCAAGCAATCAAGGTCGTGGATGTTGGGGTTTTTGGTGGAGAGATGTCGGTGATTTTAGGCACTAGAATCTGCCGGAATGAGGGAGAAAGTGTAGGAATGTGAGAGAGGGTGAGTGGAAGGAGCAAGGGGGTGTTTGTAATTTTAAGGACGATTTTCTACCTTTGGGATTAAACCGGTGAAGGCCTCTAATCCTAGTCTAACCGATTAACCGGCCAGGCCGGGCTGGGCCGTGCTCCTAATAAGTGCATGTGACTGAAAAAAAACAGATTTATAATATAAAAATTATTAGAATCCGGTGGCTTTCCACTTGTCATCTTCTCTTAAATATTTAATAAAATCATCATTAAGTATTTAATGCAGTTCTATATATGTTATGTTAAATTCTTTATTAAAGAGCTACTATCCTATAAATACATATCATTTTGATTTGTAATAGGTGCATTCCATTTTGTAAAAGCTTCATTCTTCCAACCTCGTTACAAGTAATCTCAAGTCATAAATTAATAGTACAATATCAATTTAGCCCCCCAATAGCCAATACAGCCCCACAATAGAGAAACTGCCTAATATATATATAATTTTTTTTTTTTTTTAAGAGCTTATGGACTAAAGGGTAGCTTGCTCAAACTTGAAGGGTTAAATTAATTAACCTGACTTTAATGGAAGAAACATGTGAAAATAATCATAAAGCATCTAAAAAATTCCAAGTTCATTTATTCAAGCCAGCTCATTATTCCCTTCAGTGCACGTACTTGATTCAATAGAACCCCACGCGTCACTACCCAATTGGCCCCACAAAAGTAGCCGTTAACCCTTAAACGTTAAGCCAACCGTTGTAATAATCATTTTCCAGAAAACACCCAACTCTCTCTTTATAAACACACATCCTTCATCTTCCTTCTTGCAACATTCACCCATCTCTCCATCTCTCTCTTTCTTCCTGCAGCAGATTTCTCAAGAATCTTGAAGATTTCAACATGGGTTTGGTGGTTGTGATATCTCTGCCATTCATTATCTTCTGCATATTGCTTGGTTTCGGTTGCTACTTCCTGGGAAGAGCCAAAGGGAGACGAGACCTCCAGGCAAACGCTCAGGTTTTCGGGGTTCCTGCTCCTCCACCAGGCTCAGCCCCATCTGCTTCTTCTCCCCCGCATTTCAAGCCTGACAATTCTGCAAATGTTTAAGCTTCGAAGTCCGCTTTCTGATTCTTTCATTCTTTTGTTTCCCTCTTCTGGGTTTGTAGAGAAGTAACTGTTTTGTGTGTGCCACTGAGACTTCATCTCTTTTTGTTTGCATAAAGTATAGAAAAGGCCTAAATCTGACATGTAATTTGATATCCTCTGGAATAAGATTGATCCAGTATATCTGTTTCATGTTTTGCTATACAAAATAATGTCTCATCGTGTACAGCTGCTTAGCAGCAGTGACAGGGCAGAACATAATAATGCATTTTATATATAACCAAAGAAAAGAATATAATTACAGTATGCCTAGTTCTTTTAGCTTCTTCATATTCCTACAATTGCAGCCATCAATAAATAAATAGACCTGTACGAGATCACCTATAGAGAGCGTAAAAACTGGAGTCAGGTTCTACGTAATCTAGTTAGTATTTACTTCAAATTGCAGTGAACCTGGACTGTTGCCCTACTTTCTGGTTTTCTGTGAGACTAGACTCGATAAGCCATTCCTACTTCTATGAGAGATGTGTGGGGTACCCCGAGTGCAGTTGCTGGACGCCGGCAGTTCCTTCTCAAGAACCCGTAGACAATGTTAATGACAAACTTCTTAATATATGAAGATGTGTCGGTTGCCAAAACACAAGTGTTGCCCATCATATATGCCAGTCCAGATTCCCTAGCATCCTCAAGTTCCTCCAGTTCCTTACTGCATACAACACCACGAAATCTTACTCTCTTCCGGTTAGTCCCTGTACCAGCTCCATTCCCTTGTCTTACACCACCTGCATCCCCCTCTGGGCTTGAATCAATCACAGTCATCAGCCCAGAAGTTCCAGTATCACAATCATCACCACTTCTGCGCAGAAACTCTGCTATGGTTTCAAGTAATTGATTCTCAAAAGCATGGGCATCCTTCCTGGCATCCTTATAACCATACCGGACAACACATTGAAAAAGACAAAACTGTGGTGGGCCGATGCGGCTAACAAGGAATCGCTGACTGACAGGAACTTTTGGAACTGTGAAGGACTCAATAGTAACAAATATGAGGATTTGGTGGAAGGCGGGGAAGTTGGTGACAAAGTGTGCAAACATTGGAGGGACCCCTGAGACCACATTGGAGTAGATTAAGCAAATGCCAGGAACACGAGTAACACCACAATGGGGTCCCAAGGTTAGAATCATATCCAAGCATACCTTGTTATGATTCTCAAATGAATGTTTCTTTATAGTTCCATAGTGCCAGATACACATAACAGAAAGAACTATGAGGGAAAATGTAAGAGGAAGCCAACCCCCCTTGTGGACTTTGGCAAAACAAGCAGCAACATACACCAATTCCAAGGATCCAAAAAAAACTACAAAAGCAAGAGCAGCCAAAACCCACCCCTTCCAAACCATAACAATAACAAGAAACATCAAGCAGGTGGTAACAAACATTACCGTGATGACCGCAAGACCTAGAAGAAAACAAATATGCTAAAACATTAACTTGATAGGAGATAGAGAAAGAAAAACAGAGCAAAGAAGAGCAGAAATATTGTACCATAAGCATTGCCTATCATTTCTGTGTCTCTGAAGCCAACAACAACAGCAATGCACAGAACCATCAAGATCCAGTTCACCTCTGGTATATAGATCTGCCCATGTATCTGGCCTGATGTGTGGATTATTTTGACACGAGGGAAGCACCTCAGTGCTCTACATTGGCTGATTATGGAGAAAGTAGCAGAAATAATTGCCTGACTTGCCACTACTGTTGCAAGGGTGGCAACGACAAATACTGGCCAAAATACAACCTCTGAAAAAAGAAAAGAAATACCATGAGAAGATACCCAGCAGAAATGCTGCTGCATCCCGGATAGAAAACTGAGTCAGTGATTGCTTTCGCCAACCATTCCAAATCAATAGCAAAGTAACTAATGATACAAGTTTATCCATTGTAGTAGCTTCTAAGTATGAATAGGGTACATTTAAGGCTACTAGAAGACTGTGATAAATATTTCTTTCACTTGTCCCTCTAGTTAACCCATCAAAGAAATGGCTACTCAACAAACACATACACCAAAACTATTAATTAGAGATTCTGCCTGAAGACTTTCGTGCCACTGATAATTTACAGTAAGAAACTCAAATTTCTCTCAATAGACCAATCTCATCATATTCTTAGCCAGAGAAAGCTGAAGATAGATTTACAAAACTGAGCCTGCAGTAGGGCCCACCATGGCTATCCTATGTCATTAAAAAATGAGTCAATGGTAATATATGCTGCGAAAGCAGATCGATATGTTTCTAGCCTTACTACAGTTACACCCAATTTAAGTTAAGCTCATATTTTCCTTGAAAATGTAAAAATTTACCAGGGATGGTTTTAAAGAAGCTTCTCTCGAGGTCCTCTGTATGCTTGGTGTAATAAGCAGCCTCACCCATATAGGCAATAATTAAACATGGGTAAACAACAGCAGTAAATGCAATCTGTGAGGTAAAAAAACATTGTTAAAGGAATTCTAAAAATCCGAAACAATCAAGGATAACTATAGCAAATGCATTCTCCCAATCAAAATCTAAATGCTAGAAGAAATAAAAATGAAACCTATTCTACTGGATATGGGTAAAAATTTTCTTTTAAAACACTAAACTAACAAATAGATAGAAGTATTCATGTAGAAAGTATGCATTCTAAATTTCACATAGATTATCCAATTAGAAAATACCATGTATGGGTCATTTTTTTTCCATCTTCAAAGTTTTAGAAACTAGAATAAATAGAAATGAGAGCTCACCCTAATAGAAAGCTGAGAAAAATGACCAAGATCAGCAAACATGGCCTCTGCACCTGATGAGCGAAGACTGATTTTCAGTATTTATCATAAAACTAGACTTGAATTGAACATGAGGTACCAAGATGCAAAACCAACAAACCTGTAATGCATAGAACAACTCCTCCAAGAGATCTCCATCCATCTTTTCCAGCCTTTTTGAAAAAGATATATACATAGTATGGTGAAAGAGCTTTGAAAATGCCTGGGTTCCAATGTATTATGTTGTATAAACCAACCAGACTAATGCATAAGAGCCAAGCTAACAAGATAGGAGCAAAAACAAAGCCAACTCTATGCGTCCCAAAATGTTGAAGTGCAAATAGCCCCACCAAAATCAGGCAAGCAATCAATACAGTATAATCTGCATGATAAAACAACATTAGCGAAGAGCCACTAGTAAATAATGACAGAAAATATTTTCATAATATTAGCTCATTCTAGAGGAAATTATATGAACTTGTTTTAGTTTAATAAGCAAAAAACTCCATAAGAATTTCTATTGAAACAGTGCACATAAACATATTACACCTCTAAGAAGTAGTAAATTGATAAACTACGCATAAAAATTAGAAAAATTGAGAACCTTCTAAAAGGAGAACAAAATGCTACTTTCACTTACTCTCATGTAGTCCCTTAGCCTTCACTTTTATGCCATTAACTGCAGAAAGGACTGCACACATGAAAAAAAAAAAGAAAAAATTAAAAGGGCATTACTCATTTATCCCATCACATTAAGAAATTCCTCACTCTCTCTCAGTACGCGCGCATGCATTAAATGCGTCAAGTAAGAGAAAGTTGTGCAATTCACACACACACACACACACACACACACACTGTATATGCATTAAATGCGTCAAGTAAGAGAAAGTTGTGCAATTCTTGGAAGCTAATACATCATGCAATAGCTAAAACACATCATATCCAATTTGATAGGGATCTATGGACAGAATCATAGCATAATGTTGTGTACCATAATCAATCTGCAACTTCACATGGAAAATATATGTAATATAGAAAAGAAATAATACCAGACATTGATGGAGTTAGAATGCCATCGCCAATAACCATGCTGGTTCCCAGAAGCACGACCAGTAGCAATAGAAGTCGCGAATTGTGATGTTTCTCAAAGAACTCCTTTATAAGCAAGCTTCCCCTCGTCTCCCTTAGGGGTGTTTCAGAATTGTAAGGAGAATACTCATCAGGTGTTGCATGAGGAGCACTTGAAAGACACAGCTTTGTGCGCCGACAAAGCAATGAATACAATGCAAAAGTTCCGCCTGCAGGAACGAGGCCCCTTCAGGAATCCAAAAACATGCAGACATATATATCTTTGAATAAATAAGGTGATAAATATGCAGGTCTTTTGGGAGCACCTTCACCATTGTCATCTGCTCCTAAGACAATTATAATGTACTTGCAGAGAGGGATTAGGGTCAAAGTCCAGAAAACCAAAGAAAGTACCCCAAGAATTACATCATCTTCCTCATGAGACCTCAACTTTCCCGAAAATGTGCTCTGGTAAACATATATCGGTGATATGCTCAAGTCTCCATACACAACACCAAAACTCTGGTATGCTAAGAGTAGAGTACTCTTATAAAATTTCTGCAAGTAAAACAAAAGCCTCAAACAAGTTACGATTTTTACCATCACTGCAGTACCAAAACTACTCATGAACTCACATTATGAACATGAACATGCCAAATAGCATCACACATACACATAATTACAAAAGCACTAAAGCAAAAGGAGAACAAAATGATACCGGCCCTCATCACTGGAAAATTCAATAACAGTTTCCAACAACATATCAATGTTAAATTTATTACTAAACTGATAATCATAATTCATGATCATATCCGTTCTTACTTCTTCTATCATATCACCCGAGTATCGAAACCACTTAGAAACTCACACATTGCAAACGCCCCACAAAAAATTCCAAAGTCAGATCACATATGCATATTCACAAAAGCACAAAACCAAAGTGGGCACTATAAGCTATTAGCCCAGTAAAGTTACTGTACAATTCACTAACATTTACCAATATCATATCAACTTTAGAAAATGTTACTAAACTGTTAATCAAGCTTCCTACGTCATTTAAAGTAAAAAGTGAGCATATTAACTCAGATCACACATACACATCATTACAAAAGCACTAAAGCAAGATAATCACAATACAGTACCAGCCCAGTTACGTTACTGGACAATTCAATAATACAGTGCCAGCCCAGTAATGTTACCGGAAAATTCATTGGTAATCACACTTTTTATCTCATTTAAACTGAAACGTGAGCATATTAAATCACATTCCGTCATTTATTCCACAATCACAATGCCAAAACCGTTAATTCCGGTAACGTTACAGTGATTCACATCCCCGTACGTTAACATTTCCACATAAAAATCCACACATGAAAGAACAAAACACCACACCATATCTAACAACCCATAAAACAAAAACAAAAACATAACCCGGAAATTTCAACCAAAAAAAAATCACTCCCTTGTGTGAAATTAGACCACAAAACAAAACAAAACAAAAAAAAGAAAAGAAAAACCAATATAAAGAATCATTCTAATAATCATATAAACGAAAAAAAATAAAAATTACCAGACGAGAGTCGGGGGGTGGGGTGGCGTTTTCGGGATCCATAAAAGAGTAAGAGTAAGACAAATGGCGAGGTGCTTGCAAAAGTGGAGCTAGAAGCAGAGTGAAAGGAAGAAAAAGAAGAAATGAAAGATAATAAAAATGTGAAATTTAAAAGAGCAATTTTCTAATTAAATGCGAAGAAAAAGAAGAAGAAGAAGGAGAAGAAGAGTGCTTTATTTAGTGAGAGAGAGAGAATTTGCGTTTATGGATTTTATAGAATGAGTTACAAAGCTTGGTCAAACAAGTTATTTCTTCTTTTTTTTTTTTGACCAAAAAGTAATAATTTTTTTTAATATTATATTATATAATCGTATTATTTATCAAATCAACTCGTTTATAAGAAATTTTAATTTTGTTGATATAAAATGTAAATAATAATATTTTCTGTTAAATTTCTTTCTTTTACGAAACCGAATTCAATAAATTAAAGAATATTACTAGTCATACATTATTTCTATTTCTTCATTTATAGGTGCAAATGTTAATATATTTTTTTATTTTTCATTTTAATTTTCAACTTTATAGTTACGTGATACTTGAAATTTTATTTTTTTAATGTTATTTTATTATTTATCATAAGAGCTTGTCATTTACTAATCTATAATTTTGATAAAATATAGTATCATTATTGACAAATAACACATTACTTAAAATGAGAAATTTGAGATATTAATTCGATGTAAAATAATAATATTTGATTTATTAATGGTAAGAAATATCTATGAATATTAAAGAAATACCCAAAATCTTCGAACTAAAATTATAGAATGAAAATTAGTTTTTTTTTTTGGATAATTTTTTCTTTATTCCTTATCTTTGATTCTCTTTTAAACTTTTTAAAATTTTGTATTTCGTAGTTTTATTGTTTAAGATTAGGGAATTCGCAGACTTGGTATTTTATTAATTTGAAATTTAATTATAGAAATAAATTAAAGAAGAAGATTAAAATTTGTGAGATTTTATTAAAAAAAAAAATTTGAGTAATTATTTTAAGAAATTGAGTTCATATATATTTTAGACCAAATAATTTGTTTGAAAGTATCTTTCAAAAATAGTTTTATTTCCCATAATATAAATAGTGAAAACATGATTATCATTAATACTTGGATAGTTTTAAAAGAATTAAGTAAGAAAAAATGCCTAAAATATTTAAAATAATTTTCAAGTCTAATACTATTTTCTAGATAAATAATTTTCTAACTATTATTTCTTGCATATTAGATAGTTTATTATTTTTTTTAATAAATGATAAAATAAATTATTGAAAATAATAAATCTTCATTTTCAAGAAATATCCATATTGGGTGATATTTGGAGAAGTCAAAGATTATATTAATTAATGTAAATACTCTTAAAGCAGAAAGAATATTCTAAAATTAGAACAATAAATTTTATATTTTCACATAAGATATTGTTTCTATAATTAAAAAAGTAATTAATAAATTTAATAGTAATGGCCTTTGATGGCTTTGTATTGGCATTACCTTTTGAAGTTGAAGCAATCCAAAAATAATTAAATAAATAAAAGAGAAGCTCTTACTTTAATGATATGAATTAAATAACACTAAGCAATGGTGAAGGTCACGTGGCTTGCTATCAAACTATAAGTCTTGCCTTACCCATAAATAAATATTTTAAATTTTCGCCTTATAGAAGTTTCAAAGAGCTTCATTTGTGCCCATTTATTTTTTATCATGTGGGTTTTTTTTCAAAAAATTTATAATATAAATTTCAATATTATTATACAGAAAATGTTAAATGGGTAATATTGAATTTTATTTGAAATATGATAAATGATTGGGTTATCAAGACACTAATTTATAGTTATTTATATTTTACAATCTGATAATTCAAAATGTGATAAAATAACACGTAAAAGAATAACAATATAGTTAAATCTCAATAAATTAATATTATTAGGACCATGAAAATTTATTGATTAATCGATATATCATTGAATTGTATAAATTAATAGATTATTAATTTTTCGAAACATTCTTTATTTATTTATTTATTTTTTAAAACATTAAACTTAATGTAGGTACATATTATGTACAATTAAGATGAAGTTGAAGACAATAGTTCTGTACTAGAGCCTGTCTCGCACAAAGATGCACCCAAAGCAATAATCAAATTGCATAATTTTCTCCTGTAATATGAGAACACTATACTAGATCTTCTTAATGCACTAAGAAAAGCTAAAAATGATGTCAAAAAAGACATCAATTCCAAGAGGAAATAAGTAACATTGGAATCATATTTTTCAAAAGCATCCTAATTGAGTCAATTTTATATATTAAGTAATGCTTATGTGTTTTTTTTTTTAATATATTATCTTATAAATTTAATGAATTATTAATTTACTACATTGGTCCCAAAAAGGGACTGACAAAAAATATTATTTAATCGAGATTTAATTTACCGTATTTAACTTTTTCTTCAAAACCATTGCATTGTAATGAAACATTAGTTTATATATAAAAAGGAAAAATTGACCTAATCTAACTAATAAATTATGACATAATTTGTTAGATTAATTACAAGAAATATAATTACACATTAAGGTTATCTAAAGTGAGTAGTTTACTAACTAAAATATTTTATGTGGTGATGAAAGTCCTTTCAAGTTACCATTGTGTGGTTTGGTTGGTTGGTTTTTTTCTTTTTTTTCAATAAACAATATTTAGATTATGGAAATAGTCTAATCTTATTGCATAAGTTAGCACCATGCCCGTAAGATCAAAACGTCTTAGGAGAATCCGTCTCTATTGAGTCTGAGATGGGCATATGACTGAAATTTGTTTGGTATAAGTTAACCATTTGACACAAATTATAACAGTTCTAAAACGGTTAATGACAAAAATTTACAACTATTTATTTAATATTTCTTGTTGTTTAACAAAAATGTTAATGGTTTATTCAAAATATTAATTTTACTCATAAAACGGACACGTTTAACTAACAATACGTTATTTAAGAGGGGCAGTGTTAATTTCTCAAAATTAAAAGGACAAAAAAAATATTTTTATATCAAACCTCAAAGGTGACTCATAATAACTCTTTAAAAATTCTAAAAATTAAACAACTAACCAATCAACTATCTCATACGAGGGGAACTACGTAACTCTAATTTTTAAACTATGACACATGTACAACCCATCAAAATCAGATACATAATCTTTGACTTTTCCAGTTTGCATAAATAGCAAAAAATATTAAATTATGTTGAAAGGTTGAACATGAAACCGACCATGAAACGCATTTATCTTATCTCATACGGAATATACTTATAAAACATAAGAGTATCATAACTTGATTGACTTTTATTTTTGATGATGTCAATTTATTTGGACTTTCTTGATTCTATAAATTATAAGATTATGATTTGGGTTTATTTCATGAATGATATATATAAAAGATTGATAAAATTCAAGCGTCTCGATATATATTTCGAATTTAAGTCTATTAAATACCCTATATTAAAAAAATATTGACAGTTTTACAAAGAGTTGTAATGATTCTTGAACGTATTTAACGGTTTTCAAAAATATTAGAACGCTTAATGTTTATTGATCCATTAGAGATTTACATGACCATCAAAATTTGTTGTTACAAGTTTATTATTCCCATCAATATTTTTTTCTTTTTTAAAGAGTGAACGACTTTTTCCCACAACAACACTTTCCACCTAAAAAGTTTCAAAATACCACTTTCCTACCCAACATTTATATTTCTTTAGTACCCAAAATACACTTAACTTTTTTAACTGACATTCGACGAGTTACTAGGAGTTAGTGTAAGAGGGTTTTTGTAGAGTGGAGGCCGGTGGATCGAATGGTGGTGACCAATTGAATATTCGTTGTCAGAATCAGTAAAAAATTAGACAAAAATAAGAAACTCTAACTTTGCGGTGATTGACAATCGGTAATAAATCAGATCTCGTGGGAAATAGATTTTGTAGAGAGGAGACCAAAAGTTCAAATGGTGGTACCAAAAAGAGTTTTCGCTATCGGAATTGAGTTTGGGTAGTACCAAAGCGTTAACTTTTGATGAAAAAGTAGTATTTTGAAACTTTTTTGGGTGGGAAAGTATCATTAAGGCAAACTGTAGGTGATAAAAAGTCATTTACTCTTTCAAAAAAAGTTACTATTAACAAATATTTTATTAAAAATTTATCATAATAATCTTATAAAATCAAAGATAAACTCTTAAAATTTAATAGATATATGAAAAATACATGAATATCTTCAAAACACTATACAAAATCTTATATAAAAATATCATGACTTGATGATAATATATGTTATGAATTCACGCGTTTAGACTTTTTGGATATATTTTATACAGATACCAAAAACAAAAAAAAAAAAAAAAAAAAAAAAAAAAAAAAAAAAAAAAAAAAAAAAAAAAAAAAAAAAAACACTTGGACAGGTAGTTAACCCAAAAAAAAAAAAAAAAAAAATCAAAATCTTCGAAGATGTGACAAAAATTGGACTTTTTTAATTTAATTAATGGGAAGCCACATTGACAAATGTTAGTGGCGTCGCAATGACACATATTGAAGATCTTTGAACAATTAATTTAATTAATCAATTAACTCAAAAATTTAATAACTCGATCACGATCACAGTCTCTGTTTCTCCATTTTTTTTTTCTAATTATTTACTAAATATAACTCTAGCAAGTAAGGTAGGGAGAAATAGAGAGATAATATAAAAAATAATAGAGATGAAAATGACTTTATAATAATATTCTATTTAAAGAGATAAAGAGTTTAAAATAAATAAAAATGACAATGACTTGGCAGTATTCCTTCTGCAAAATTTACCTTTTTGGGCTTTTTAAATTAACAAAGCTTTGGTTTGTGTAACTTTCTTCTAATTCCTTTTATCTTTTTCTCGTTTTATAAAGTATGTGCATATGTCATGTTAATATTAGGTTACAGTTGCGTCTTTCATGGCAATTTCACAGTAATTCTTTTATACATATTATAATAAGATATTGTTTAAATAATATTATAAAAATATTATTAATGGGTAATACAATTATTAAATAGGATAGTATTTGATTATAATTTATGTCTTTTTATGAAAATTGATAAGTTTATGGTAATTAATTTCCCTTCTTTAAAAAAAAAAAAAAAAAAAAATCAACAT